GGTCAGCCCACCCTGGGTGGCAGGGGCGGGAGCCCAGTCAGTGTGTCCTGGGAGGCAGGAGTGGGGGCCCGGTCAGTGTGTCCTGGGCGGCAGGGGCCCGGCCAGTGCGCCCTGGGTATCAGGGCCCTCTCCTCTCGCTTGTCCTGGCCCAGGTCACCAAGGAATGGGGGCCCGGTCAGTGTGTCCTGGGCGGCAGGGGCCCGGCCAGGCAGCCCTGGGTATCAGGGCCCTCTCCTCTCGCTCGTCCTGGCCCAGGTCACCAAGGAAGCCCCTGAGCTGAGGCTCTGGGGGCCAGCAAGGGGCTTAGGACACTCCGCAGTAACTCCCCTGGTCCCCTGCGCCTTCCCCCACACCGCCACCCTTAGGGAAGGCCTCTCGCGGTTCCAGCCCCTGAGAGAGGCCTTGGCCCCACCCCTCTGCTCACAGCTCTGGCTGCCCACAGCCTGGCTGCAGCAGCCACCAGAGCAGAGGTCCTTGCCCTGGCCTGCCAGGGGTCACACCTGGCCAGGCAAGACAGAGCGGGTGACAAAAGGAGAGGCAGACAGGGAGAGGACCCCGGCGTCCACTCGGCAGCGAGGTCTGAGCAGAGCAGCCTGATTCTGCTCTGTGTGACTGTGTCCGGGCGAGAGCATGGCGACCGGGTCCTGGGGGCCGGCATGACCCCGCCACAAGGGACTGGCACAGGGGATGGCACCAGGCACACCGGGCTGGGACCCCGAGCACGTCCTGGCGGCAGGCTGACTCCGACCGAGAGAGTCAGAGTCCACTCCCACAAACAGCATGTCGTGGCTCCGTGGTCACGCCCCGGAGGGACACCCTAACAGCTCAAAAGACCCGAGCGACTCAGGGTGCTTTCTCCACCCACGGCAACGCTTCCAGTTAAAGCACACGTGCAAGTGTGTGCACGCGTGTGCGTACATGTGTGTTTACATGTGTGTCTGTGTGTCTATTGTCTACATGTGTGCCCATGCGTGTGTCTGTGTCTATGTGTGTGCATTTCTATGTGTGTCTATGTGTCTGTCTATGTGTGGATCTGTGTCTGTGGGTCTCTATGTGTGTCTCTGTCTCTATGCCTCTGTGCCTCTGTGTCTCTGTGTCTCTATGTCTCGTGTGTCTGTGCATCTTTGTGTCTGCAGGTATGTGTGTTTCTGTGACTGTGTGTCTCTGTGTCTGTGTGTGTCTCTGTGTGTGTGTCTCTGTGTCTCTGTGAATGTTTCTGTGGGTGTGTGTCTCTGTGTCTCTGTATGTGTGTCCCTGTGTGTGTGTGTCTCTATGTCTGTGTGACTCTGTGTGACTCTGTGTGTGTGTGTGTGTGTCTCTATGTCTGCGTGACTCTGTCTGTCTGTGTGACTCTGTGTGTGTGTGTGTGTGTCTCTATGTCTGTGTGTGTGTCTCTATGTCTGTGTGACTCTGTGTGACTCTGTGTGTGTGTGTGTGTGTCTCTATGTCTGTGTGTGTGTCTCTATGTCTGTGTGACTCTGTGTGACTCTGTGTGTGTGTGTGTGTGTCTCTATGTCTGTGTGTGTGTCTCTATGTCTGTGTGACTCTGTGTGACTCTGTGTGTGTGTGTGTGTGTCTCTATGTCTGTGTGTGTGTCTCTATGTCTGTGTGACTCTGTGTGACTCTGTGTGTGTGTGTGTGTGTCTCTATGTCTGTGTGTGTGTCTCTATGTCTGTGTGACTCTGTGTGACTCTGTGTGTGTGTGTGTGTGTCTCTATGTCTGTGTGTGTGTCTCTATGTCTGTGTGACTCTGTGTGACTCTGTGTGGTCAGCCCACCCTGGGTGGCAGGGGCGGGAGCCCAGTCAGTGTGTCCTGGGAGGCAGGAGTGGGGGCCCGGTCAGTGTGTCCTGGGCGGCAGGGGCCCGGCCAGTGCGCCCTGGGTATCAGGGCCCTCTCCTCTCGCTCGTCCTGGCCCAGGTCACCAAGGAAGCCCCTGAGCTTCTGGTCTGGGGGCCAGCAAGGGGCTTAGGACACTCCGCAGTAACTCCCCTGGTCACCTGCGCATCACACCGCCACCCTTAGGGAAGGCCTCTCGCGGTTCCAGCCCCTGAGAGAGGCCTTGGCCCCACCCCTCTGCTCACAGCTCTGCGTGCACAC